TTATTATTATACTGAAATATGTTTTTGTCTCCTGCCCAGTGAGAGGTCTTTTAGTACCTAAAATGTATATTAGCCTGATTACACAATACAGCATGCCCAATATGAAAAAATAACTGCTTGACACCAAGTGTGCTGGTGGGATGGCTCGGAAGATCCCAAGTGGGGAAACGCTGCCCAGAAAATATAAGCCACGCAGACAAGAAGCTTCGAGGGCCAGCGGCGGAAACAGCCGCACAAGCCATCGCAAGCATTGTGCCTTCTTTTGGACAAGGCCCTTCTGACAGGTGCGATGCAGAGATGTCAAGAGAACAACCCCATGCCAACCTGTATTGTTACAGCCCCTCAAAGACACTAGATCCCCAGGTCATACAGGGCCATGCTGGACTGTGCCAGAAAAACCGCTGCACCCACTAATACCGAGGTATAACTGCCACCACATGCTGATAGATTTCAGACCCAACATATGTCCGACTCATGTATGCTCTCTCATCAGAGTGACTACATTCAAGACATTAGAGGAAACCATAAACTATCTTTCTCAATGGTCCGGTCATTAAATATTATGTTTTTAAACGTATGTTTGCTTCTAACAATCTTGGCGTTGTCGCGTGAATTTGCAAAATAACACATGGAAAGGAAGTAATCTGGGAAATGTGGATAAAGGGACTCGTTTATAATTGTAGGACCCCTGATGTAATGAATTACAAAAGTAGAGATGACACCATATACAAGAGATTAGAAGTGGTTGCTTTAGTCATAGCTTTACCCAACCACCACAACCACCACATCATAGCATGAGTTATCAAGGAAACGATGGCAAGGTCAGCAGCATCGACAGCATTGGCCAAGTTCACTTCTAGAGCTTGTGTTCAATTTCTATTCATTCCACACGACAGATCAGCATGTGGTTCTTTGTCAGCCCACAAATGCACGTCAATTGTATTTATTGCAATGACCAGTGGCAGCATCTTACACTTCCCTGTATTTTGCAAGAGCATTGCCTACCAGCTTAACTAGTCTGGGTTCTAGTGAGGGTTGTTTGGTCAATTTCCATACTCATTTACTTCAGGTAAACTTGCCCGCAAACCCTGAATTCTGGCTTACTCGAGTCCAGCTTTGAGACGTTTTACTATGCTGTTATATTACCAGAGGAGGGACAGGGGTCTGACCCTCCTGAAGAGTATGATAACGTGTCGTGACTCCTCACTCATTCCTAGAATAGTAATATTTGCAGTGGCTTCTGCACTGTGAAATAGAGTGCCCTAATAACAAATGGTATACATAAAAACACAATTCTCAGCTCAGTGTGCTGATAAACATATGGAAACTTAAAAAAACAGTAAATCATTTAAAATGAGGTTAAGAGGAAAGGTGAAACTTGAACAGAGAGCACATATGCAAGGCCTTCCACACCAAGCATGTCTGCAAAAGGCTCTCTAAATGATCGATTGTGGCAGGGCTTTGCTTCCATCCCGTCGATAGCAGTGACAGCTACTTAATGATGCTTTCCCAAAGTGCAACATGCTGAGGACTTCGACTATCACTTCGCTGTACCGAGCCGCTATTTTGCAGAATATTTAACCAGTGATCACCTCTTTACATTTCCAAAAAGAATGTACAATTGCTAAATAGAGGTTAATTATTATTATTTTTACATTATAGTATTCACATGAAGTGACTGTAATTTATTATTGTTATTTTAGAATACAACTTAAAAGTAACTTTATTATTTTGTAACATCCAATTTATATAAAGCAGCATAAGTATGATTCTGATTACAAGTGATGGGGAACATTCTGTATATTGACTCAAAACAAAAATGCTCATTCTAATTGCAAGCTGCCATTTGTCATGTGATTTTGAATTAACTTTCAGGCTTTGCCAACAAAGGACAAATTAAACAGAAAAAAAACACTGCTTATTTACATATCCATTTCAAAATATTTATGTCTTCAGTTCATTTAACCCTGGCCCCATTAACACCGAGCTAGCCAACTGGATCAACATTAAATAAACTTTTAGTTACATTCCCCAGTGGGAATCCATCGATCTCGGCTGCCCAATCATTCCCAAAGGTCAGCCAATCACCACAGCAGACCGGAAATGGGTAAAGCAATGGATTGTCATATGGGCACAATATTGAGTGTTCATTGTCAGATGACTAAATGCCTGTGAGAAATAACTCAATGGGCTCTCGGCACTATGTACTGCACTTAGGCAGTGGCCGCGTGTTAATGGGTGAAGATAGGTTAATGGATTATGATTTATAATATTAATCAATGAAACAGTTGAATCACAATGGTAAAGTGTAGGCATAAATCTATTTTTTTAAAGGACAAAGGAATGAGGTAGGTTCAGACCAAGGCCGTAGCCATGGAGTCAACATTGGGGGGGGACCAAATCTTCCAGGTCTGGGGGTCCCCCCCCCAGAAAAAAATCTTAATTTGAAAACGAATTTCCTGCCATTTCCTGCCAAAAAAAATAAAAAAAATTCACTAACACATAGGATGGACTTTTTATTTATTTTTTACAATAATGTCTAAGAGTGTATTGTATTACATTGCTCTGTTTTTTTCATTTTTACCTTTTCTTATTTCATTGTATGTAATGGCAGAGATTAGGGATGAATAAACCATAACCACAATCATATAAACAGATATCTATTTTATAGCAATATATTGGGGGGGACATTTTGAACATATTTGAATATTGGGGGGGGGGGGGATGTGTCCCCCCCAATATATTATAATTACGGCCTTGGTTCAGACACACATTTTAAAATCGTAATTTACGCTTGTTTTCAAAAAGTGCGACGTAAATGGATAATGGTAGGTCGGCTAATGCATGTACATAGTGCCCTGTTATAAAATTAGCTTTAGTTACATCCACACTTGAAAATTTGTCAAAAACATGCAATGAGGTTTCAGCTCAAGCTGACCAGTTCTGGTGAACATGGAATAGCACTCTTTGTCGATTTAAAATCGAGACATTGGGAAAGGGATGAGAGGTACGCAGAAATAATCCAGTTCTACATTCGCAGGAAGGATAGCTGCGATCCTCTAAAATAATGGAAAACAAGTTTATGATCATGTTGAAACAAACCAGAGTTTAGGAAAAATCCTTGGCTAGGCCGCCAGGTTATGCTATAGGGAATATAATTTTAATAAAAATGTCATCTATTACAATGTTTACAAAAGAGTACTTGGTGACAAGAAGTGAACATTTTTGGTTATTCATGTTGAGGGATTGGGAACAGAAATGAAAACAAGAAATTGTACACCTTTTTCATTTAGTGAACTTGCCTGCCATGTTTTGGAAATCAAATAGGTTGTGCAGTTATTTTACAAGAAAAATCGTCCAGGTCATGGTCACCTTCTACCACCGTGATCCTATGTCAACATTTTTGATGTAAGAAGTTCCACTTCCAAAAGTTTGTGACACTTGTTTAAGACTCTGCTTTAAAATTTTCCAACGATGCAGTGAAAACTATGGCCATCGAGCCTATATTTAAACAAATACTGGGGATAAAATGCCAATGGCACTGTATAAAGCATATCTTGAGTTTCCCTGAAAATACATGTGTGCACTGTGTTCAGTCTGATGTCAGGAATAACATTATCTGTTGCCACTGGCAAGAGTCACATTAGATAGACTTTTCTTCATTGGTCACCGTACTTTATTATCATGTAAAATTTAATTTAAGGAAGTAAAGCTGGACGCGGACTATAAGATTATTTAAGTAATGGATTACTCTACCTGTTATCGGTTTGATTATGAAAATAGTTGGAGAATTACAAGTCTTAACTGTGTCCATGTGTGCTACTGGATAGGAGATAAAGGGAAGGACTTAATGACTCCATCAGCATCATCAGCCATGCCATGCTGGTTGTGGCTTGTCATGACAGTCGATATTTTGAAAGGGGTCAGAGCTTAAACGACAACAATAAAGTAGCCGATTAGAAATTTTAGTGGACTTGATATGCCAATTATTCCAGCTCTGACTGAAACATTCCATGACACAAATCTTTTTGCAAAACACACACACTTTGCTACCAATTAAGATACAATATATTTGTTAATTTCATTCACATGAATGTTTTTGAATAAAAGGCATCTAAAGAAGATGCTTGATAATTCATGTAGACATGCTGTACACCAGGGCGAACATCTGCATAATATATACACATGACAACCACATTAACTGAATGTGACCGTTTGATGAATTCATGAAACATACTTTTAATATTCAGCGTTACAACACCGGACTTGACTATAATTATGCTGTCAGAATTCAGCACTAAGCAATCTATTCCAACACTGAGTAACGTTGTAGCTTTACAATAGCTTAATAATATTGTACTCAAAATCAGACACAATCTGACAAATTCTAAGAACACATTCAAAGACAAGCTGATAGTGTTCATAAAAATGCACACTCGCATATGCATGCATCTTTATTGCCACACTTAGGCACATGTACATGTTGTGTGTATGTATGTTGAACTTCTTTCGCACCGTACACAGCCAACCGTGATAATCAGGTGCGTTGTGATCCAGCACTGGATAACAATTGACAATTACCTAGCTCCTAGCATCCTGCGCTGTTCAGTGTAAAGCACACGTTTTCGGATTGTACCGTGTGGTGTTTTTTTCGATACGATGTCCGACGTTTCACCCCACATGCCGGTGAGCTATTGAAACGTTTTTGCTCCACGTGCTGGGAGCGCATCCATCGGACATCGTGCTGAACAACAACAACAATCGACAAAACCCGAAGAAAAAAAACCATCCGAGAGCTCTTAACTGCAAAACCACACAGAGCTATCTATTAGCATACACGAGTGTATACCATGTGTCCAACTGTGCCTGCTTTGAGGGCAATATGAGTAAGCGATTTGAAGCTGGAACAGGAGTGATCGACAGCGGCGCACCTTCCGTCGTGGTCACCATAACTGTTCTAAGCGTGCACTGCTTCTGAGCGGCTCATGGGCCACACGTACCCAACTCCTGCCGCTTGATCTGGCGGATCTGGTTGACGGTCTCCTTGAGGATGGCGCACTTGTCTGGTTTCACGTTGAGGTTGTCGATGTCGCTGATGTTGGCCGAGATGAGCTCTGCAAGCTCTTCAATGTATTTGTTTTCCTGCTCGCGACGTAGCTTTTCCGCCGTGCATTTCGCACTGCGAACACAGAGAGAGAGAGAGAAAAAAAACAAAGCAGGTAAGGTCAACACTGCGGTGGCAATATATTATCTCCCTCGCCTGGTTTGCAGGTCGTGGATTCGATCCCAACCCTGACGCCTGCTGTATATTTGGAGTTTGCATGTTCTCCCTGTGGCCGTGTGGAGTTGATTTCTATTTTAAAATTGTATTTGTATTTTTTTCTTCTATCTACGTGAGTTTACCGAAAGAACCAAAGAATATACATAATGTTCTCTGATTTATGGTTGCATGCACACAAAGATGTTCACTCATGGATGTGTGTATATACTTAAATGAACGTGAGAATCAGCAATATAATTGTGATTCCTGCAGGATTCATGTACGCATGTCGAACTTCTTTCGCACTGTACACAAGCAACCACCAGTTTGTCCTTCCCCCACACCTCCGATTAGCACGGCTGGCTACGTAAGGTGCAAAAGAAGTTCAACATACATACATAGCACTAGTTGCAATCGTAAATACAAATCTGACACAAATAGATTCGTGTCCTTGGCAAGGCTTGCAGGAGACAATTCACCAAAAGCCCCTTTACAAGTCTGTTAAATTATTCTGGCAGTGGACAGCTGAGTAAAGGCCTCTTGACAAGGCAAAGTGATAGAAATGGTTACAATGTACCAAACAAAAATCAAAACATGCAATTAATGTTCAACATTGAGGTGTTCAACCAAATAGAACAGCAATACCATACATTCAACCATCCACAATTTGAAAGGGAAAAAAAAATAGTCCATCAGGTTTCATTAGGAAACAGAAAAACATGGCCACATTTATATTCCTAACATGATAATATAGACATTCTTTGGGTCTTTCGGTAAAAAGTCACGTAGATAGGTTCAAAGAAAACAATAAAAATAACAACAAACTAAGACGTTTCGATTTCAACGCAGGCGGTCGTCATCAGGCTGAAAAAAAGGGAGGAAAGCTGCCGAGACAGCCTGTTTCAAGGATTTGAAATGGTTGTAGCACAAGGGTCATAAACGAAGTGGGCGGGGCTATTTATGTTAATGTGAGAGTAATTAGCATGCTAATGTAAGATCGCACAGCCGCAGCCACGTCTGCGCATGAGGTGGCTGAGACATTTAACCTGGTAATGTAAAATCAGAGCTGCAAATAACAACTAACATCGGAAGGTAGGATGGAAACATCACAGCCAGTTGTGACTTAAACTGGTTAATAACGTCCTTTCACTGATTGCTCAGTTTTTACCCATCTTCTCGGTTGAAATTGTGTCTGTGCCTATATATCTGGATGGCTTAATGAACGAATCTCTGTTGATAGCCAGTGGGTTTAAAAAGTACCATCGTCTTGGAGAAATCAATTTCGTGAGACCACCGCATTAAAACAATGATCAGCCACGGCCGAGGTGTTGGTCCTACTGTGTACATTCAGACAAACAACGCTTTATAAATACTAAGGCTTAAACTTTCTACCCAAGTGCAAGACAAATTCATGGTTCAGCTGATGAAGTGTATGGCCAGTCTGACAATCCAATGTATAGAGACCAGGTTAAATGCTGATGCATAAAAGACCAGATATATGTGTATCAGAGAGCCTGGCTATCACTGCACCCACCAAGCTTCTGCCTTAGCCATACGATTTAAACATTATAAATTTTCCTACATTTGAACACAACTCATCAGACTATATCACAGCCCTTGGGCTGTGGCACATGAAGACAATCATCTCTGTAAATTAAAAACAGCGGTTGATCGCTACGGCCACTGTCACATTTACCCGCGACCGATGGGGCTCGCTTTAAATTGACCAAAGCGTGAGGATCCAATATGGTAGCCATGGTAACGATGGGAAGGCAACTGTACATCTCACTTAGTACCTGCGCTGCAGTCACGACCGATGCAAATGCCGACGTAAATGCAAGCTGAAAAGTTCAGTTGCCCAGCAGTCTTTTCGTGGTTTGGCACTGCAAGTCGGAAGGTCAATCATGCGGCTCTTTGTTTTTTGTCGCCACCACCGGAGGATTGTGGCGAATAGGCAAGGCAGTAAAGTGCACAAGGTGCAATAATTCACAGCTTTCAATTTGTGTATATACACGAGAGGCAACTATGTGCACCTATAAGAACCCGTCAAGACGAATGCAGTTGTTCATCATCATAGTTTATGGATGCACACAATCTTTTTATTCTTAGATGACATTGAAACATGGGCTGTTTGGCACGTCGGGACTTACATTGCCAATTTGATAGTCTACATACATTTTGCCCGACAAGATTCATGAATGAATTTGTGAATTTGGAAATTACAGCTATGCTGCATTAAAATATGAGCTGGGTTTAATCGAGGCAGTGTTACAAATTAAAGTAGCAAGAGAAATGAAAATACTTTTGCGAACCTATGTGGAGTGTTATTCTTCAGCAGAACATTTCAGAATCTATGACACCACCATGAAAGAAACTGCAATAATTCACAGAACTGTACTATAAAGTGTATTCATTTAGTTTGAAGACCCTTTGTATCCCACTTGTGCTTCTAATATAATGGAATGCACGAATTACAATGATCACTTTCAACCAGAGGCAAACATGGGGGTAGATAATGTGGATGAGTAGAATATGCTGCTGAATGAATTATAGAGAACCTTAAACATTTGGAAAATTATATTTGTATACCACATGTACCACCGCCACATTTGACAAATAAGGGGACTCCCGTTTCGTTGCACTACCAGCCAGATCTCATCAAATCATATTTTTATTTAATCAACAGCCTCCTGCAGAGATTATATACTGTGGGAGAGGACACTTCTATTCGACTCTACCAATAACCCCAAGCCAGTGCATGCATGCACGAGGGCACTAGCAGTTGGTGTAGTCCATTACCCCCCCCCCCCCCACTTCACGCTATGCTAATAATGGTACAGTCCTAAACCACAGAATCTCTCCACTGGTTGCATCCAGGTTAGTCATCCTTTTCCAAGTAACATCCAAAGAGATTAAAACCAACCCATGACCCGAGCAGCTCCCGCCTGCCAAATGGAGAACCTTAAAAGTTTTTCTTCACTGTACCAACAAGCAATAATGAGGCCATGCTGAGCCAGACTAGTGTGGCTCAAGATGCAGCGGGTTGTTTATGCACTGAAAAACCCGAGCCACTGACGTCATCGGGCTACTGATGTTATGCGCAATGAACACATCATAAGTGCCACCCCTGGCCCTGCCTGCCACCGAGCCAGATTCAGACTTCTTATGCGACCAGAGTGCCATGGTTTGGTCACAGCTCGGCACAGAAATTAGCCAGTGGAAAAGCTCAAACAATGAGGGCTCGGTGCTTGATCAGCTCGCATGTGTCCGTGGAAAAAGGACAATGAAGTCAACATGGCCCGAACCTTACAAGTAGATCTCCTCGGAGAGGTGAACGGGATAGAAGGGTGGCAGTGGCACATTCCCAAGGCAGCATGCACGGTGGAGATGGAGCAAATAAACCAACTCATGTGCGGGAGCCAGATCGATTGTTGCATCACAATGTGACATATGGCTTGGGGAGGCCCGCAACGAGCAGTGGATAGATCATGACTGTTGCTGCTGCTGATGGAAGGAATCCTTCATTTTAAAACTTCACATTTGGGTATGCCTTGTCTATATAAACCAAATTAATGATTAACCTCACCCCAAAATTCTAGCAACTGTGAATGATTTCATGGAAGAGATGACATGAAAAGATTGCCCCATGATAATGGAAATGCGATGACGGGACTTATGGGACGCAGTAAGAAACATCCCATTTTCTTGACATCCATTACTTACACTAATATAGGTCATGCACACGTGAAGCTTGGTTTATACTGTATGTTATTCTCCTTTGGCCTTTGAGAAAACGTGTTTGAGCTTGAAATCTGTGTATACCCTCCTGGTTTAATTATGGCTACAAGCGGTTTTTGACTGCATAGACACAATCATTGGTGTGCAAGTTCTATTAGAAACCTGACGGGACCCACCACAATTCTCAAAAGAAGATCCCCCACCCCCCATCCCCAACTCTTGAATTCATCCCAGATGAATTAAAAGTTGGAGAAAGTAAATGCACGCATGGCAAGCATTACATATAAATAAAAATGCTCCACATGTGGATTCATTTATGTTGTAGTAGAGCTATAGATGCTTTGAACTTGCCAGTAAACACTGGAAACTCAAAATTACGTGCTATAACAAAAAAAAAGTACTGCTTCGTTGGCATTTTCCATTAGTTATAAGATCCGGGGTCAACTCTTGTCAACACCACATCCATTATGCATTCCTTGCCTTTGTCGACGTTTAAACCAAAACTTTAAGCTTTCATCCAGCAAAATAAGTCACCAATATTCCAGATAGCTTGCTTTTTCTCCAACTCGCTGAGTTGGAACACCTTCAATCAGGGACTCGTCATATTTGGAGTGCCCATATGCTCATGGACTAACAGTGCACTATTGCTCTCTTTGTAATAAACGCTAACATTACGATGTAATTTTTTTAAAGTCATTATTTGTCCTTGCAAATGGCACAAATAAACTAAAATATAAGAATTCTGCAGTATCATATGAATAGGTACAAGATGGTACTAATCATTAGACTTTTACATGGGTGGCACAATTCATTTTCTAAGAACTTACAACTCGCTTGGTAACTTTGAAAAATTGTTGAAAGGGCAAATAATGAGGTGCTATTGTGCGTGGATGCATTGTGTCCATTGGCCTGGACAAGCTGCTCATTTGTCTTGCTGTAGGAAGGAGGTCATTTATCTTTCTTTGGCCACAACTGTCCACGGCCTGCCAAGCATCTTTTCCTGAAGCCATGTGTGGCAAGGGTCAGACCGCCGATCATCTAGACTTACTGTTTGTGCTATGGGGTCCCGAGCCAACCCAATGTGAAGTTAGCTCACGCCGACACCCTCTTTTAATGAAGAGGCAGAGCCATTTACGGGCTCCCCTTTTGATAACAACCAACAGGAGAGATGCGTGGGTAAGAAGGAAGTACCATCACCTGCCACGCCATGATTGCTGCCGAGTAATGGCGTATCTCACAAATTGACAAATGTATTCATGAGAGAGGGTAAAAGGAGTCGTGTTGGGAGAAAAATAAACATTTAAAGCAAATAGCTTGGCAGTGTACATTTAAAGCAGGGTTTGTTCCCTTCATAAACCTTCATCGAGTTGCAAGTGTCCACTTTAAAGGAAAACATTAAAGAATAGTCACAAAGGGCAATCCTTTATTTTCCTCTGGACCAAACAACATCAAAAGGTTTCAATCCAGCCTTCTTCACAGCATCGCTCATACAGCATGTTGCTTTGCAAAAAAAAGTGAAAAAATGAGGCCAGGATTGCCATATTCAGAATTCCACCCTTGAAATCAAAACAGCTTCAAGGCACAAGCTACATACCCTGCCAAAATTCATGACTAATGGAATCAGCTTGCAAGAGAGACTACGCCATGAGTTTTGTGACAAATGTAATGCACTTTTGTTTGGTGTGTATTTGTTATTACAATTATCGCTGCACATTCTCTTGTAAGTGTATTTTAGTTTATGTGCATGTATAATTAGTGAATATAATTACATGACTGGGGAAACATTGAATACGTATAGAATTTTAGAGAATATATATTTTTCGTCATCACAAATTTCAGTATATGCATAAAGAAGCAAAGTTTGATCTTTTGCATTATTTCCCAAACATACAATCAAATCAATGATGCAGAATAATGAATGAGGGGCAGCCAAGGAATTAAACGCATCTTGAGGATGCCCAACAAGGAGATGGTGCAATGAAATCAGCTCGTTGGTAACTGCTAGGTGAATTTTTACTTCTCAGGATCAATGAAAACAATACACTATGCAAGTTTATAATTTCATGCGATTAGACCATTTTCTGAATACATGCAATTATATATTACAATCCTCTCCCTGTCGAGCAAATGTGTTTTAAGCAAATAAGGTTGACAGTCCTCAAGCACCTTTATGAAGGAACCGCATCAATGTGTAAAAAGTTGCACCGGCGATGAGGAGCACTGTCCACAAATTTACAACGGCAAACATTGTTTTTTGGCAAATGTCACACACATTTTCAATGCAATGGACCCCCGTACCTCGTCTTGAGTGGATCCGACGAGGACGAGGACTTGCGCTTGCGCGACTCGGAGAGGCCGGGATCCACGGCGCTTTCCCTGAGAGCACTCATCGTGTGCGAGGCAAATCCTGCAACGGGGACAACACATTGACCACTGAGAACAGCCGTGTACATCTATATATGCAGGGGGATCCCCATGCCTCAGCTTTTGACTCCAACAGGTAGAGCGTTATTTATTGTGTTCATCTCAAAATGCAAACACATTACATAAATTTCATTACATTTCATCTCCAATAATGGACAATGAAAATGCATTCCAGTTAGGGAATTATAGACATACATTTAATGCATGTTTTTTGTGCCTAAAATTACCACCACATATACAGAACATTTAAAAGACAGGGTAACTGTTAATTAGCACTTTGTGCATTATGCCAGATTACCCATGTACAAGACCCCATAATTCGTGTAAATTTTAAAACTCTCAAACAAATGCATTACGAGTTCCTCAAATTTTGTTAAAAGATTGCACTGTATTAATGTGTATAAAAACACGAGCGAAGGCACATTGAAATTGATGAACATGATGGGCTGCACACTCAATCCCCAGTGCATGCATTAATAAAGTACTTTGTTGCCAACCAAAATTGTATAGATCTAGGCACTGGTATTGTGTGATTTATTTATTAACAGATTACAATTATTTGCACATAAAAGTCTCAATGACTCTTTCTCAGGAGCATCCTGTCTGGTTCTCATCCCGAGTAATTTGAAGGAAATGTTCAACGTTGGGAAGTTGTCTAAGGAAAAGTTACATTGTATGTTAGTTTTAGCGATAGAGTTAACCAGAGAACCCAGAGGAAACCCATGAGAACAAAGGGAGAACATACAAACTTCACACAGAAAGGCACCGGAGTCAGGAATTGAACCTAGGTACGTCCTGCTGTGAGGCTCAAGTGTTACCACTGCACCACCGTGCCACCCCCCTTTTGGCGGTAAACTTGGGAGTGAATTGGTCTATGGGTTTAGTTGTTTTTTCTTGATAACATGTGAAGTGGTCTTGGTCTAAAGCACAGAACAACATAACCTCACCCAAGAGGTCTAACTAATCATGTCCACCACTCAACGAATGCATGCCAGTCAATGTTTGTATATATAAAGCTAAACAGGGCAGAGGAATGAAGTTTCAAAAGCAATGGCTAGAAGTAAATACAGATGGAAATCAAGGGGGGTAACTGTGGACTGTAGGCACACATTGGCGTGCACTCTATGTCTTGACACACTTGATTTCAGCTGCAAACCTTCTAGCTACACATTCTTTAAAAACAGCGCCAAGAGAGATATGCCTTTAGCAAGAAAAAGTACGTAACTTATGGAAGTAGAGGAATCCACAACGATAGAAAAAAAATACACGACACTTCAAAGAAACTCCCCTCCTCTGCAGCCCTTTTAAAAAGTCGCCATGAAGTAATCTTGTTGAGGATTACTTTATATGCATTTGTTCTTGGAAAAGTCACCCAGAAGTGGCGGAAATGTCATAAATATATCCACTCATAAGAGTTTCCCACTAGTGGTCTACCAGTATTCCTCAAGTCATCATAATATAGTCACTTACACGTGGTGGCAAATTCACATTATCCACTTTTTGAGCAACTCGGCAGTGGTCTCCCAGACACTTTATGTGAAATCGATAAAATTACCGTATTTTCCCGCACATAACCCGCGGGGTATGCCACTTTTTACAAACAAAACAAGACCCTGTGGGTATATGGAGGTGCGGGCTATCCCAAAATATTTTACACATGTGACATGTCATAACTCATTTAATGTTTTCATGGTAGGACTATACACTACGCAACACTTACCTTTGACTAAAGCACTGCTGAATAAACCATTCACACTAAAATTGCACGTGAGCACGTTTTAAATTATTCGAATTGTGTGTACAATAAAACGACAATGTTTGAAGTGGGCGCACTTTGTTTACCGTAATACTTTCAGTGGCTGTAGAGGGGTGCGAAAGTTTCAGCTGAGGCTATGGATTGCACAATGGGAAGGGTCTTAACAAGCGTCTACCAGACGCGGAATCATAATTGCTGAGTCCCTTAGGCCGCTGCTATTGGCTGAGCACTATACAGTCGTGACCATGAGCTTTGTTTCAAACTTCCAAAGGCTTTGTTGCCAGGAGGCAATGGAGTTACCGTAGTGCTGCTATCGTCTGCGCAGTGCTCAATCTACCAGTGCTAAAACTGTACAGGGGTAACTACCGGTCCGGTAGCTGTAATATGATGAGGTCGAATGCTGGTAAGCCTAACAGTACGCTTACTTACGATACTTATCTACCAGTATGTTTAACTTATTTATTGGATATTTACTTTTGTTATTTACTGTTTTACGTTCACTCGTTTCCGGTTAGTGTTTTCTTTGTGCACGTTATGATTTTAATGCTAACAATTGATAGTGGAATGTATTACAAATGTAAACTTTGTATTAATATGATGGAATTAAGCTGCGGTAACGATGTTAAAGATATGAATGCATGCGGGGTATATGGAGGTGCGGGCTATCTGAAATTTGTTTTACACAAAACGCTATTTTTGCGGGCTATATGCGTATGCGGGCTATATGCGGGAAAATAGGTACATCAATTCATTTAGCCAAAAATTAGAGCTCTACTTGCTGTGTATGTGTCATGCGCAAAACAAAATAGTAACCCTTCACCGACTCACATGACCACACTATGCGTGGCTAGGTGTGCGAATTTAAGAGCATTAAAATGTTAGTAATTTTCACAAATGGTATAACACGAAAAGTAAATTCTTCAAGTTACTTAGACACACGGGCGCCTAAATAAATAACATTTTACAGATACAAGGAATCACCCACAAGTTCCAAAAAAAATATTCCTATTATCCACATATATACAGCGATAAAAAGCACAAAACATAGTTATGTTCGTGGACACGTAAAGATAATATGAACCACAAATGGCATCCCCAAAAATCAATGCGGTTAATGGAAACTTATTATTTGTATTTAAACTAATATATTAGTTATCCCTGGAGAAAGTGCTTCCTATGTATTATTACTACAAATCATTATTGTAAAAATAGATTTCATAGTTGTGAAAGGCACGAATATTTTGCCAAAGAAAATCTAATTGGTAACATGAATGTACACACAAAACACCATTATTCAAAGTAGCATCGTAACCATGCTACTTGGCCAATAATGTACATTGAGGTCATAGTGACCATACACATCACAATGAGAACACAGGGTACTGTTCGCAGAATGTGTAAGGTGGGATCCAATTCTGGATAATGGAGCACCTCAGTTAGTGTGGCCACCAAAAGAAAATAAAGAAACACCTCGGTTGAAACCTCCACCCTCTGAGGGGGCACTATGCACACATGGTAATCAACCATTCTACCAAAGATGCACAGTAGACTTGTAATCGAGAAAAGTGCTTTCGTGAAACAGCCAGGCTGCCTTCATCAACAAAGTGCAATTGCACATCGAAAGGCCAAAGAGTAGGACAGCTGGCAGTATTTGCTTAAGACTTTTACAACACACTGGTGTGCTGTACTAGCGACGAATTGGCATCTTCTGTTTACGTGACAAACCCTTACTAGTTGGCTGTGTCGGGTGGTGGCGGGTTTAAACGACACATTTATATATTTACGCGATCTAACCCAAAAAAACCTCTATTATGGACTTTTACAGCCATATGACATTCATCATGTCCAGCATCATGAAGGACTTCAAAATCTCAGTTGTCAATTTACAAATACATTGGGTTAACATCAACAGGGTTAACCTTAAAGTGAGTATTCCATTATGGATTTTAAGCGATGCATTATGGGAAATGAAAATTTATCTTTGCCAAAGAAGTAAAAACAGCTAATGGGAAAAGCGCTGGACTTTAATTTTTAAAAGATTGTTGCCTGTACAGTAAAGATGGTGGCTCTACAATTCAAAGGGCTACTAAAAATATTTATAGAAAAATTGTTTATTGCTAAATGGGATACATTCTATTCTCCGATTAGCATGGTTGGCTACGTACGGTGCAAAATAAGTTCAACATACATACATACTTGGGTATTGCAATATGTTCAGGAGCTAAATGTCAATGTTCGAGGTCTGCTATCCAAAACAGGGCTTCAGGAAAGTTGTGTAGTTTTGCTATTCCTCCAAGGAGCCCAGACTACAGTGGTGTACTAAATGGTCTATTAGCTTGGGTTGCGTGGCCAGTCGCATTGTGGCTTGTCTTTAATTTTACATTTATCAAGAAGATGTGCACATCGACTGATTTTTTTCATGCAGTTGATGGCACTAGTGTCTTTGAGGAATTTTAAAGCCAGGTGGTCGCTGTTTGGGTCTAGAGTGAGGTGTTTATTCTGGACATTGGCATTGTCCCAATGTTTGCCAGCTTTCTTATGGATCTGGGTGAGATTCTAGGATGGTGACAGCACGATCCCAGAAGGGAGATCGGAACATTGTTGAGGTTTCGCTTGACGGGTAGGTTGCCATTGGCAATAATACGTGTAAACTCTTTGTCTCCGTGGATATTTGGTGGCAGAATGGGATTGGTGTCGATTTCAGAATCCCTGTTATGATGTACATCGTGTTATTGAATTGTGCATTTAGCCGTATTGTGTACAAGCTCCCGGACCAGGCTGAAGCACAACACTCTACAATTGAATAGATCAGTGAGAAAGCAGCAGTTTGCAGCACATCAGCTGAGGCGCCCAAGGTGATTCCTGCAGGCTTCTTGTGGGGTGGAGGCAATAGGGCCTCTCAACCCACCTCGTTCAGCAATGAAGAGGGGGAGCCGAGGGTCTGCTGATCCCGGCGACCAAGAGACTGGAGGGAACACCTGACTCCATTCGCCTCAGTCTGGGAGAGAACCACTCGCGACGAGTGGGTCCGAAGTGCTGCCACCATCGGCTACAGGTTGAAATTCACGGGACATGCCTCAGGACCAATTTGGAAAGAATCACACCTTCTGCTGGAACAGAGTATAAAGGTAGCCTTGTTAGCATAGTTGTTGAAGCTCCTGGAAATAGGGGCTAAGTCTCAAGGGGCAGTGGGAGTCGAGTTTCTACTCATTTCTTTATGGCCCCCA